GAAAAATATAATGCCACACACACAAACACACACACACACACAATTTAAAAATATTTTTATTTGTATTAATTTATTTATATTGCTTAATTTATATTATATTATTTTCATGATCACATTTCTGTTTAGAACCAACATTAGACTAAATGTAATGAATAATTTGATGTAAATAAATAATCAGCTTTCTCATTAGAGAGAAAGTAGGCCACCAAACTTTTGCTAAGTTATTCTAATATCACTCAAGTTAAAGGAGAGACTTACTTGTGGTGATGGGTATGAAGGAGGTGAAGAGGACAGCGAGCATCAGGGCTGAGTTGTGTGCTGGGCTCATCGCGCTCTGACTCTGAGCTGCTCCGCGTTCACACTGACTGCTGCTCCTCATGCTCTCGTGCCGTCAGTTCGCGCCGCTTCGTCTGCTGCTCTGCTTTCTCAGCCTGACTTACAGCACAACATTATGAACTCTCAGAGTTACACACCCTCTTTGTAAATTGACCTGCAAAGTACGTCACGATGTATTAGCCCCGGCACGTGATTAATTTGCACAAATGATGCTGTGAAATGAGTGGACAACTTCCAAATATGGTCTAAGCTATGAGTAATAAAACTAAAATCTTTAATCTTCAACAGGACATTTTATTTACAGGATTGTTTTACTGTATTTATATATAATATCGCTTGTTGTATTACAAAACATTTGCTGAGATATGAATATTTTAAACTTCCCAGTGTAACTGTTTCATTTTGTTTTACACCAGCTTTATTATTTGGACCACACAGCAGAGAAAAACGTTGAATAAAATATTGGTCTGCAACGTGTTATTAAAGATTAATTAAATATGCATATGGTAATTCCTCTAGTTTACAACAGTCATTACATAGGCCTACTAGACATTAGACAAACCCGTTATATCAAAGCGGAGGACGATTTTTCTGGTTTCTTATGTTTATGGGCAAAACAAAGGGGGAAATAATGTAAACACTGAATGTGTCCAAAGCTATCCATTGTCTTTCTCCAGAGTCTGTCTGTAAGAAATAAGAGTGTGCTTGAGTTTGAGATCCAGGCTCGGGTCACCAAGCTAAAGTGCATTGAGTCCAATTACCAAAATCTTTTACTCTCTAGAATTCTATAAACGTAGAAATGTCAAAATGTGACTTTTTTGGATGCTTTAGCCTATAGTAAGATTTAAACAGTGATTTCTAGACATGAAAAAATCCTGTAGAGTGTAAATCATGGGGGATGTTCAGACTGTGATGTTCATTTACACATTATCTAGTACAAACTAATAAAACTCGTTTATCATTTCTGGAAAGAACTGGACTCATGTCAGTAATTACACTTTGAACCCCTTTTCCTCTGGATTTTACGTATCTGTATATCTAATTATCACTAAACCACAAGGGTTATAAATTAGGTTTAGAGCAAATGCCACACCGTTTTTCAGAAAATGAAATTTCTTATGTTTCTTATGTTTCTTTCAAATGTATTTCCAATTTATTTCAAATTTAAGCCATGCTTACTAACTCCTGGTGTTCAAACAGGGAATCTGATGCACCACTGTTGTTTGTACATGATGACCTGAGAGAGAACAAAGCATTACAAGACAAAGCAGACAAATCATGTTCTTTGGAACTTTTTTGCAAATATCCCTGTGTTATGTTGCCTGCAAGGTCTAGGAAGCCACAGCCACATAATCACTGTGTATACATCTGACATAACAGAACCAGGAAATAACAAGTTGCTTAATTTAAAAAATAAAAAAAATTCATTTAAAAAAATTATTCATAATTTTTTTAATCAATTCATAAAACACATAAATGCTATTTAACAACTACAATTTCCTTGCGTTAGCAAACTGCAGTCTACCTTGGGATATTGTTATTACCGTCAGCTGAGACGTGCTCATGCAAAAGCAACATAAGAGCACAAGCACCACCAGGACCTAATGGATCTGAACTAGCTTTACAGGTCACCAAACTGGCTTGAAAACATGGGATTGGATCTAAAGTGCCAGTACACATTCAGACACTGGAAATAATCGAATTATGCATTGATCTAAAAGGGACATGGCCTTATATGCAAATATTATATGGCCTCTGGTGTAAACAGAAACACTAAAAGCACTACTGAGTTTATTTAAAAAATAAATAAATATATATATATATTTTTTATATTGTTAAAGTTTAAAATATATATTTTTTATTATTTATTAAATTTTTTCCCCAAATATATCCTCTGTGGTAGTCTACTCTACACTATTGCCGTATACATGTAAATTTGATAAATATACAGTTACACAGATGCCACCTGAGATTTTGAACCTGCATCAAGAAAAGTATCACTGTATGAATCTGAAAGATATGAGCTAATTAATAACATTTAAAGTAATAACATTTAAATCCCATATTAATGCTGTTCTGGAAGACAAACATACATGCCATATATTGCATATTAAGCTTAAGCCTTTTATGCAATATGGGAATTCAATACCCAGTGCTATTAAGTACATCTTATTGTGTAAATAGTGGCAGTATATGAGGATGAAATCAAGTAGGGGAAAAAACTATGTTTAGTCAACAGGCCTTGATGTACTTTTTGTCATTTTTCACCAGAAAAGCTCATGTATTTTAAGCATTTGCTTCTGATCATGTGATCTTGATGTCAACCAGGGAGTGCTTATATTACATTATTGAAATAAATAGTAGAGATTTGCTGTAACTTTCATCGAATTTCCAATTAACTGGGAAGAGGAAGGCGTTGGAGTGTCATGGAAAAATAAAAAGCCTAAATTCAGCCTTTTGTAATCAGCTTTGTCCTGTTTTGTGGGTGTGACAGGAGCTCCCTTGAGTGGGATGTAGATACAGATAATATGATTGCACCAATGTCTGTTTAATATCTCCTCATTATGAAAATGTCAAGCATCTTGGTGTCATGGCCTCACATTTCATGGCATATGTGTGTGTATGCGTGTATTTGATCAATGTGAATTGACCATATTCATATGTTTGAGTCAAAACATGCCAAGAAATCAAGTATCTCAATGTGTCCACCTGTCTAGGTAAAGTGAAGCCTGTGGTTGTGCATGCGTAGGGGGAGGTGTGCTGAGTTTGTGTGTCTGTCGCCGCACATCATGACGCACACGGGAGAACGAGATTTGATACACAGTTAAGCATAGCGCCACTGGGAAATATCAGCTAAATATCAAAGTGAATAAATAATCAGTGAATATCTCTTACAAGAGGGTTATTGCTGGATTTTTGGAGGATTGGGACTCGATGACTGAGTAGCTTCAGGAGGCCTGAAATAAATATAATGAGAGCTTTCGCACAGGTTAAAGAGATTATTTATTCGGCAAGAGGGACAGGAAAGGAATGAGGTAGGAATGAAATGAAGAGGATTAATCAAAGAAGAACATCAAGAAAACCACACTGCAGTCAAAACAGACAGGTGAGATGGAAACACATATAATGCACATTAACAAAATGAATATGTGATTCATCCTATGGTGATTGAAGAGTAACATTAGTATGAGCAATTGTTAATCACCAAAGTCAGAAGTGAGTCACCATATATTACATGTAGGATTTCCCTGTAGTTTTCACACTACATTGGAAATTATATTACATATGTAGGATTTTCCTTGCAGTTATTTAGACTAAACTTTAAAGGGGTCTTATGATGCGATTTCAAGTTTTCCTTTCTCTTTGGAGTGTTACAAGCTGATTGTGCATA